TTCCCATCTCCCTCCCCCCGCTCGCGCGATCCCGCGCTCGCGGGGGGCTCGCGGGACTGAAGAGAGGTGACTAGGCCAGCCAAGGGCGCATGAGAGCCTCCCCGATGGTGCCAGCATCCTCCCGGAGCACGGCAGCCTGAGGGAGAGGGAGAAAATGGATGAGCAGGCGTCGGAGGTGTAGGAGGTGGAGGACGCGGTGGACAAGGAGGACTGGTTGGGGGGAGGAGAGGGGGGGGGGGGAAGAAGGAGGAACGGGATGAGGGGGACGAGGGGGGTGTGGGGAGGCCCGTCGCCATTTTGGCTCTGGTCCTTTCCGTTAGCACTGAAGATCGACGGCCCCAATCGTTCACACACCAGGTCGAGACGGTACTGCGGCTTCGGCTGCACTGCCCTCCTAACCGTTACTCCAAAAGCCCAGCAGCCTCTGCTCTTGGTGCTCGTGCGTCGTCAGCACGCCGCCTCCAGAGTGCTTCCAGCGCGACTGGCTGTAAAAGGGTGGCAGTATTCATTTAGCGAGCCACTGTGGAGTTGGGCTGTCAACAGAGAGAGTCGAAAGTGCCACCTACATAAGGGGTCGTGCTATTTGCGGAATCGTCATCCGTCGGCCCCTGCAGTGTCTGCCAAGCGTAGCAGGGGCCCCGCACCTTAGGCATTTGAGGCGAGTGAGGGCGGAAGAGAATCGAGGGCAGCGAACAGGCTCACGTTGGCACAGTCACGCACCAACCAATTGGAACAATAGCTCTCGCTTCAAGAAACTCGGCTCAAACAGCTGGCCGACTCAGCCGTGGACGGGGAGGGTGCGCCTCAGCCTTCCTTTCACGCGGCGCTGGAGACCACTCGTTCGAAGCTGGCGCAGGTATCGCCGAAGTCGGCAGTCTACGAGAAACTGGCGTCTAGTGGGATCCAGAGCATCGGCGGTGGACAAACCTCCCTTTAGTAAACCTCCCCTTAATGAAAACGGCCTGGGACCGAAACCGACGGAACTGGACCCGCAAAAATGAGGGCCGCGACGCCCTCTCGCGAACCGAAAACGGCCAATTCCTTAATCGACGTGTCAGGGTAGGAGGTCTATCCACCTCCGAGTGTAACCAGTGTACCTGGATCGACGACTGCATTCAGCGCGCTTGGTAGGATACGGATAGGCTCCGGAAGCAGCAGGCGCAGGATGCTGAGCCGCCTGAGTTGCATGTGCAGGGCATGGCGAGGCGTGTTGTGCAGGCCAAGCCGATCAAAGAGCAGAAAGAAATCATTCTGAACAAAAAAGCCAAGGAGCAAGCTGGACAGGGCCTTGAAGTGGCTACCAGGACTCGGGCGGGCGTGGACGAGGCTGCTCAACAAGTTGTGAAATTTGAAATGTACATGTACGAAATGCAACATTGACAACCTCTGGATGCAGAAGGATCTGCTCCTGGTCAGCATGCTGGGCTTTAGGCTGATCGTATCGGTGGCGTTGCGTTGGACCTGCATGCGTTGGGTGTAAATGATCTGAAGATGCTGCAGCAGGACAGCTGCATGCGTAGCTATCGGAGTAATTTGTGCAGACTGTGATGAAACTGTTCGCGTTGTGTAAGAAAGCTGAATCATCGGCTAGAAGCGAACAGGCAGCACCAACGTGGTGGAATGTGAACGGGGTGGAGTTCGCCTTCGCTCGTCCTAAATCTGCCCTGTGCATTGTTTAACCGTTTTTACTCGGCGTATTGAAACTCTTTTGTTAAGCGTTCTCAGGACTCAGCAAAAACATGAACGACAACAAAAACGATCCGTTGCTTTCGTACGAGATTAGCTACATTTCTGTTTGTGTGTTTCCCGATCCGCTGATTGCGTCGTTTAACATTGCCGTCTACGACGCTCTCAATTAATCCTCCTTGTGTCTAGTCCTTCCTATAGTATCATTGTTATCATCATGTTATCCTTTTGCTCTTCTCGGGCCGTCGCTGTTGGCTGGTCGTGGGGCCTCTGGGCCTGTTTCGCGCCCGTGTCAGACTGGTGTTCCGGCGTTGTTTTTGTTTTGTTGTTTTCCATCTGCGCGCGGAGCGGGAGGAACGGGAGGCAGCAGGAACGGGAGAGCGGGAGCGAAGACGACAGGGAAGACAAGGAGCAACCCTCGACAACAAAACAAAACATCGCAAGAAAAGCTCCACAGCGACGGACCTAAAAACGCGGTGAAAATTACATTGCTTCGAGGGATCCCCACCGAAACCTTCGGCGTTTAATCCCGACGGCGCTCGCACCCATTGGAACGATGTGCGCGTGGCCCGGTGGTGTCAGCCAGTGCGGCGGTCTGACCAGGTCGCAAGCTGCCGTTTTCTTAAGAACTCAAAACCCCTGAGACCATGACGAAAGACACCGAACAAGCCATGGGGCGAAATGCTAACTCCAAATCGCGAGGCGCGAGATTCCAAAGCATTTCCTGAAATAACCCGTAGGACGAAGAGGAGCACAAGCAGTAGTAGTAGTAGTAGTAGTAGTAGTAGTCGTAGTAGTAGTAGTCGTAGTAGCA